AGTCAAAAGGATTTCTTCAACAAACACATCTCAAAAGGAAAAAACATGAAAATGGGAATGGGTTTAGTGTTGCTTACAGTTTTTATGGCTGTGATGTCTTCAACAAGAGTCTCTGCTCAGTCGAGTTGCACAAACGTGTTAATCAGCATGTCGCCGTGTCTCAACTACATAACAGGAAACTCTACCTCTCCTTCTCAGCAATGTTGTCGTCAGTTGGCTAATGTAGTTCAGACTTCTCCTGACTGTTTGTGTCAAGTCCTCAACGGTGGAGGCTCTCAGCTCGGGTTCAATGTTAACCAAACACAAGCACTTGCTTTGCCAACGGCTTGTAATGTTCAAACTCCTCCTGTCAGTCGCTGTAACACTGGTAAGAGTTTCAAAGAATCAGTATTTTATGAAGATTGTTACAATCCCAGTTCTTGCAAATCTTACGCAGTATTACATTTTTGCAGGTGGTAGTGGTGGTGGTTCTACTGCTGACTCTCCTGCAGATTCACCAAATTCACCAAACTCTTCAGGTAATGATTTTAAACAGATGTATGCAAGGAAGAAAACACCAATCTCAATAGACTTTCTGTTCTAATGCATCCATGTCGGGATTTATGTTTAGGACCAGGAAATGGATCGAAAACCGTACCAGTAGGGGAAGGAGACGGACCATCGTCTGATGGAAGCTCTATCAAGTTCTCATTTCCTCTTCTTGCTTTCCTTTCCGCGGCTTCCTACATCGCAGTCTCCCTCTGATTTCCCCCTGCCAGTGTTTCTCCTGAAACAGATGAAGCTTTCGTGGCACTCAGATTGCATTCTTTATTTTTCCCTATTTATTCACATTTTGTTGTGATTTTGTGTGATGTATTTTATGCTCTATGAATCCCTACTCTCCGGGTGATATTGGTTTGTAGCTCGGTGAACATATTGGATCTCTTTACCTATTACAATAAATATTACTTTCCAGAACACAGTTACAGAACAGAACATCAGTTCACTCAACCAATATCGGTTTAGATAACGAAAATCTAAAAGTTTTGGGTTCAAACTCGGGAGCCAGAGATAGTATATCCAAAAAGAAACGAAGAACTTGTGTCAACTTCACATGAAATAGAACAAACTATAGAACATAACAGACTTTAAGCAGCAAGCTACAATCTATCGTTATTTACGAAACATTAGATCCAGTATCAAACCAACAGGAGACAGAAAGTATCCACATAGGAAAGTTGTATACATACTGTTGACATATCAAAAAGCAAGAAGCCTGATAAATTAAAATCAAACACTGCAAATAATAAAAGGTATAAAGCGACTTTGAAATCAACCTGAAAAGGAGATTCGGAAGTTAAGACTTCCTCTTTCTACATAAACAAGAGCAAAAATAAGTGAAACAATGCAGTACTTTTGTTTCCATACCTCAAGCTACTAAAATTGACAATGGGAGAACTTACTTACTCGAAATGGTTGGATCACTGGAGTAGATTGTCTTCACAGCTCAAGCTAGATAGAAGTTAGAAACTTCCTCACCGTAGTATGTACTTTGTACTTTTGTAGAGCTGAAGAGAACTTAGATAAGATCGGCTAGTCTTCTTAAAACACCATCTGAAGAACTTCAACCTGTAACCGCAACAAGGTGAGAAGAAGATGGCAGTGACAGTGAGGACTTGTGTTCTTCGTAAACATTTATTAACAAGAAAATTTATCTGAAATCTGAGAATGCTACGAAAACATTATGCATTGCAGGCTCTCTGCCATTCGCTAAGTGTTGAAGAAGGCATAGAATGTTCGTAATAGAATGGAGAAAATGCGAATCTTAGCAAAAAGATGGTTTACATCAAAATATGTAGATCTTAATTCACCTTTTGAAACGAGCAAGAGACATGAAGCAAAGCTAATGAACAATCTCAGCTTACCATTAATAAAAAACAACCACATCGCATCACAACCGTGTTCACTATGTAATGTTACAGAATTTATAAAGGTTGTCAATAGAAAAAAGAATGAAATTTGATACATAAAATGATTTTCTACAACTATTAGATACTAAGAATGCGACCGAGATCGCACAAACTCCTCGAGTTTTTCCCAGACTTCTAATGCAGCAGCACGATCTTGATGCCGCTTGTTCTTGCTAATCTGAGAAGTTCATATGTTCATTAAAACATATCTCCATGTCAAAAGCATAACATCAGAAACAAAAAAAGATGTAAAATTTCTCACCGAGATAATCTTTACATTCCATTGCTTCACCGTCTTGGCTGATTCGATACTATCATCTTCAAACCGCAAGAAGAACCCAATAACTGCAAACAGTAGGTAACACAAACAAAAATCAGCTCCAACTAAAACCCAACTACACAGATTCTTCAACTCACTGAAATTCTAAGACCAAGAAAACCAAAAGACCCTAGAAACAATCTTGCTTACTCTTATTGAATATCTCAACATGGTCCTTAAAAGGCCAATCCTTGAACTGCCAATCCTTTCCCAACACGAAAACCGCAACAACACGGTCCCAATCATCAGGCTTCAAAGCAGAAGGCTTATCCCTAACTTCATAAGCAGTCACTACTCTCTCTCTATCTCTACTAAACTTCTTCTGAACCGTAATACAATCCGGCTTTAACCCTTTCATCTCCTTAGCCTTAACATCATTAGGTATATAAACACCATCTTCCAAAAACTCTTTAACATTGTATATAGTAATCAATGTCTGAAACGCACTCGGCACAAGAATTATCGGTACGCCTTCTCCTATCTTCCCTGCCTTGAAATGAAGCTTAGATTTAGCGTTTGCATCGTACCCTGAATCGTCTCCACCACCTCCACTACTAAACCCTACAATGCCTCTTTCCTCTGCACCCATTAACCTACTCTTTGCAACTAACCCATCTTTCCTCTGATGAGACTCAATCCTCTGCCTCTCCTCTTCTCTTTTAGTCGAATTCACAAGAACACTGTAGAAATCTCTGTTCTTGCACTGAAGAATCGCGTCTCGGCTCTTCAATGGTCGTTCGTTGGAACGAATCAGCATAATGTAATCAACATCGTCGCGATCATCGACCTCCATGTCTTCGATTGCGTTTTCTCGAGAAACAAAAGCGGAGTTGTCTTGATCTGGTCGATACTCTTCGTTCTGCTTCTGGCTTTGTGCGTTTTGCTGCTGGAGGAGGAGATAATCAATCGAATCGGAAGATGCTACTTTTCCGGTGAGGTAATCGAGGAGAGGTTTCCGATCTGGTAAAGTTACCGCCGGGACGGAGTTTTTGACGGTGGATTGCATATACTCGCCGTGTTTCAGATGCTGATTCTTCACATAGTGAACCAAAGCCTCTAGAGTGTAGAGACTTCCGCTTTTCGATCTGTAAGCTGTCTCCGTCGCGCAGGGAAACGAATACTCCGACCCGAATCGGTAATTGGATCCGACCCGTTCGATTTTGTCGAGATCTCCTCGTGTTGTGAAATCTTTGAGTACTGATAATGGATCCATGGTTTCAGAGAAAGAGAGAAAGTTTGAATCTTTAAAACTTTTTAGGGTTTATGCTTACGAAAGACAGAGACTCTTGAAGTTGAAGTCTTTGAAGAAGAGAGTTAAGAGAAGAGAGATAGGAAATATCGGAAAGGGAATAATGATGGGTAAATAGGTAATTTTTAGATGGCATACGAAGATCAGAAATCCGACAAGAAAGGCCCAAGTTCTTGATGGGTCTTATAAGCCTAATACGTAGATTCATCTCTTCTGCCGGCTAAAATAATAGATTCATCTCTTCTAGAATATATATGTTTTGTACTGCATTCTCGTCTTCCTTTGGTGTGAGTTACGGGTTCATAGCTGGCTTCCCGTCCCTACCTTATGTTTAGTTGTAAAAGCATCTCCAATGTATTACTCTATTTTTTCACTTCAAAATGAAATTGGATTTTATTCTAATGTATTATTCCATTTCTCACTCCAAAAATAATATTTTAATTATATTTCGTTTTTTATATTTATTATTAATTACTAATAATATATTTTATTTATAATATTAACAATTTGACCCTAATATTTTTTATTTTATAAATAAAAGTCGTAACATTATGTTTTATTATTATTAATTTACACATACATACATAATAACTTTAATATATATATTTTTAAAAAGTTAAATTCGTAATAACATAAATTAACTTAGATGTACATACACATTTTTAACAAAAAAAATTTACACATAATCACAATTTCACACATTATAATATAATATAATTATTTTATTGTAAATTCTTGTGATTTTGACAAAGTCGTAAAAATTTAATTAAAAATAATATCAAACAAATAGAATATCATCACCAAAATAATTATTTATCTCTTAAAATTAATTTAATTAAAATTTGAAGAAACATTTTATAAATAAAAAAGTTCAACTCCAAAATGGAGTAGAAAATGAGATTA